ATCATGACCGGCGGCACGTGCGCGGCCCAGCGGGGGGGCCAGGGACGTCATCAAATAAGAAGGGGCGCCATGAAATCCGGGGAAATATCATGGCCCCCGCCATGATATTCCCCCCCCCTAGTCACCACCCCCCTCTTTTCCGCCCCCGAGAGAAGCCGATCGCCGATCGCTCGGCCCCGTGGCCTCGCCGTGCAAACACGAGCCCGTCGGGCCGGAGCAGTGGCGGCGGCGGCGGCAGGCGCCTCGGCGGCGCTGCCGGCCGCTGCCGGAGGCAGGGCGGGAGCTTCTGCCCGCCCTGCCAGCCGCCGCCCCGGGTCGCGAGGGGTCCGCCCCGGAGACGCTGACCTGTCCTGCTTCCTGCTGCGCACCCAGCCCCTTGCCCGATTATCCGAATAGAGGATCGACCACAGAATTGGCCTACCCCTGAATTGGTTTTCTCGCCGAAGTTACGAACGATACGTCGAGTGTTCGTCGGCATGCGCATTATTCTGCGAATTTTCCGCAGATTCGACGAACAAATCAACTTTGGGGTAAATCAAGTATGTAGTCGGTCCCCTACTCGAATTATGCCTCCACATGCCTCCCCCAGCTCCTCCTGGACCTCCTCCTGCCCGCGTGCCAGCCTCCTGCCTCGCCCGATGCGTGCTCCTGCCTCTGCGACGTCCGCCAACGGAAGAGAGCGTCGGTGTTGAGGTGACCTGGGGGGCGTCCACGCAGAGCAGGAGCCGAGGCAAGTCTTACGTCGGGCGTGTCCCCCCTACGGGGGGATTCTGGGCGAAGAATAAGAGAAATACGCAAACAATGCCCCCCCAATGGGCAGAAAAGTAATCCAAAAATCGTCCCCAGACTATTTTTTTGTGACTATTTTTGAATATTCCCCCTGTAGGGGGACATGCCCGACTTAAGGCAAGTCCTGGACGGCACGCTGCATCATGCCAGGAGCATCTGAGCAAACGCCCGCCGGGCACACTTCAGCGCGCCCATGCGCCGAGCTAGCTGACCTAAGCGCGTCCGTCCGCCGAGGCTCGAAGACACAGTGCGAGCGTGCAAAGCAAGCGGGCTTGCGTCGAATCCACGCTGGATTTCTGTGGCTGTGGCTGGCCGCCTTGCCGCAAAAGAAAGATCTAAACACCCGTGAAATGGTTACAAAAGCCCTGGCCTCAATCCGCATCAAAACGGAAGAATGAATTCGCCACCGCGCTTGCAGCGGATGGTGGCCGTGTGACCTGGTGACGGTGTTTTTATTTTGTGTATGCGCGGGTTTGCAAACGGCCCGCGCTCCTTCCGCTCTCTGCGGGACTCTGACTCCGCCGCCGAAGTCGCCACGCGCGCATGGGCAATACTCGGTCAAGTAACCTTTGCCAACAGGCTGGTCGAATCCGACCCACTCTCAGCTCTCTCGGACCCGTCGCTCTGTGAGTCATCCTCAGCCGCGCTGCCACGCGCGGCCTTGCTGGAAACGCTGGAGAGCCACGCGAACCCCGCTCGTCCGACAGAGGCCGTGACGGTGCACACCAACTGCAGCAAGGCGAGCCACAACGGGCCGATGAGCAATAGCCACACGAGGCTGTATGCCACGATGGCGAGCAGGATTAGCAAGCCAGTTCTATCCCAGGCGAGCGCTGTGACGGCACCGACGATGGCAACAGTGCATCGGTCGCTGAAAAAGAAATGGATTATATAGCAACCAATCGCCCGGGTTCCACACATGGACATATCGACTGGCACAAAAGTCATCCCGAGGGCCAAAAGCATGGGCTGCAAAGTGGTGGTGATGACCTCACATGCTGCCCACAATGGATTACGCCTGTAATGGCTCCACGGGTAATGAAATGCAGCCACCGTCAAGCCGATGCAGAAGCTGCAACCGAGCGCCACGACCGACCAAACGGGTCCTTTGGGTAATCGGCGACCCACGACCGCCATGAAGCGGCGCAGATAATGGAAGGATGCAACGTAGAAGGCGCTGAACCACATAATCCAGTGTGTGTAGATGGGGCATTGCCCGCAGTCCTCTCCCCCAGCGCCAAAGACCCACATGAGCGTCCAGCGGAGCGGCATCCACAGTTCCTCGTGTTCGCAAGGATCCCCTGCCTGTTCAACAGGGCAAACTCCGACGACCCCAAACCAAAACGCCGTTTGCAACCAGCCTGGAGCGCCTAATTTCCCGCCAATCCTAAGCATGACTCGGGATTGCAAGATCATGTACAAGAACCACCTGTGGCCTGAAACAATCCACGGCGTGCAGGACATGAATTGCCAATCGACACCACCAAAAGGTCCGTACCAGTCCTCGCGCCATACCCAGTCACCGAAGATCCCGCGGAGAACGTGAGGCAAAGGAAACGCCATCGCCAAGTAGACAACAAAAATGACCACATCCCTCATGGTGAAGCGGATTATGGACAACGCCGCTGCCGCTTCACCGCGTGACGCTGGCCGCGTGTCCTGGTCTTAGCTGCCCCAATACGCAACACGCAACACGTTTCGTATTGATACGGAGCTCAACACGTAGGCTGAAAACGTAGGCCCGACGCGATACATTCGCCAAGACGTGGTCCAATACGTGGAGCCAACACGAAACGTCTTGACACGGACGTTTTGAGCACGCCACGTGTTGCGCATCAAAACGGGCGTATCGAGGCAGCGAATGTCCTGGTACGCCAGCGCCATGACGAAGCCTACGAGCTGCTGGTCGTTGCCCAGCGAGCGCAAGACCAGCTCGACCCAGCTTGGGACTGTGGACCGTGCGATAGCGTAGCAGAACGGGAGCGGGCGGTACTCTGCGTCTTAGTTGGCCCCGGAAACGACAGGGCCGCTTTTCTAGCGGTTCCGCTTTGCCGTTTTTTTGCCGGCTCCGACGCGTTTTTGTTGCCGGTTCCGTCGCCGCTCTTTTACGGGTCCCCGCTCCGGTTCCCATCCTGGAGCCGTTTGTGTTGCCGTTTCCGGTCGCCGTTTTTTGCCGTTTCCATTTTCAAGGGACACTTTTTCGGAAACGGTGAAAAAACGGCCCTGCCGTTTCCGGGGCCCACTAAAGCTCTGCGTCGTAGACGTCACTGAACATCAAGTTGCACTCACAGAAGTGGTCGACCAAAACACCAAACGCCCAAAAGCAGTAGCACCTGTAGATGACGGCCATGTTGAAATCGTCGGCCGCCATCTTCTTCCTGGTGATGCCAAGGGAGTCTTCGGCTATCTCATAATCGCTCGATGTGACCTCCAGCTCCCCGAAGCTCGAGCACAGCATCTCGGCCCCAGTACCGCGGGCGTCCAGTAGGATGACTCCAGCCTCTTCACCCGTGAGCTCCTCGGGGACTTCGCCATGCAAAGACATGAAGAGCCTGAGCCGCTGCACCTTCCCAGTCGTGGTCTTGGGCAGACTGTCAACAAACGCAACCAGCTGCGGCCGTCGTGACGACTCGAGGCGGGACGCCCAGTCGCGAACCAACTCTTCGAGTTCATGCGTCTCGGCAAGTGCATCGCCCGATTCATCCAGAACAACGCAGACACCTACCGTCTCCCCCAAGCGCCGGTGGGGCACTGCGAAGACGCACACCTCAGCAACTCTTGCCTGCAGGGGGCGCATGCCGTGGAATCCCTCCGCCGAGCTCTTGCTGTCCGAGTCGTCTCGATGCTGGCAAGGGCTTCCAGCGCGTACGTCGAGCATCAGGCCCTCCAACTCGTCGGGGGCAATCGTCTCCCCGCCGCGATTGATCACCTCCTTGGACCGGCCGGTGATCCACAGATAGCCCTGGGCATCGAACCTCCCCAAGTCGCCAGTCCTGAACCAGCCGTCCTCTGTCCAGCCCTCCTCCGCTGCGGCGCCAAGGTAACCCGAGAACAATGGACCGCCTCTGCACACGACCTCCCCGTTTCTGATCATCACTCTGGGCCCCACGACGCGCCCGACACTGCCCAGGGGTGCCACCCCTGTAGCGCTGAGAAGGCCGGCGGAGTCCGCGGGGATGATCGGCGAGCAGATGGGCATGCACTCGCTCATTCCATAGGTAGGCACTGCTGGGCAGCCCCACAGCGCCTCGAGCCGCAGCTGCAGCGCAGGCGGCAAAGCTGCAGAGGCGCTGCGCACTAGCCTGAGCGAATGGTGCGGAGCACGCCCCATTCTGTCATAGTGCTCCGCGATCGCGAGATGCATCGAGGGTGAAGCATAGAACCATGTTGGAGTGGGCATGTGCGCATCTCTCGTAGTCTCTTCCAGGAGCGAGACGAAGCCTTGTGGCTGGAAGGCCGTGTCCGCGCAGAGCGTGCTGCCCCCGGAGAGGAGCGGCGCGAGCAGGTTGCTAGCGATCCCCCCGATGTGGAAGAGGGGCAGCATGTTCAGGCACGCGTCCTCCACCCCCAGCGACAAGGACGCCGCGATGCGTCGGCCGCCGTCCGCCAGGTCCCCCAGCCGCTGAGGCACGACCTTCGGGGCCCCGGTGGTGCCGCTGGTCTGCAGCAGCAGGGCGACGTCCGCCGCGCGCGTCCGCCCCGCGCCGCGCCCGCCCTGGCCCGCCGGCGGCCGCGGTGGCGGAGCCCCGCCGCCGACGCCGCGGAAGGCGCCGAGGAGCTCTGCGGCGCCGCTCGCGCTGCCGCCGCCGGCGCCGCCGCCCGAGGGCAGCGGCAGCCCCAGCACGCGGAGGCCGAGCCAGGAGGCTGCCCTGCGGATGCACGCCCCGGCCGGCCCCGAGCCGCCGCCCGCGGGAAGCACGACGCACGTGGCGCCCAGGTGCCGCAGGCTCGCCTCCGCGCCGTGCTGCGAGAGCCTCGGGTCCAGCGGCGCGCAGCGGCTCCTGCTCATCACCGCGAGGAGCGCGACGGCGAGCGAGGGGCCCGGGGGCAGGGCGACGGCGACGCAGGCCTCCGAGGACAGGGTCGCCCAGACGCCGGTGTCTGCTTCGAGGAGGCCGCGCAGAGCCCCGTAGCTCAGCCCGCCAGGAAGGGTGCCGGGGTCGTAGATCGCGCAGCCTTCGTGCCTCGCCAGGAGCTGCGCGAGGTCCGCCTCGGGCCCGCATGGACTTATGTCGGGCGTGTCCCCCTACAGGGGGATTTTCGATGACAAATTATGAATAAAAGACCCCAAAAATACACCCAAAAGGTCCCAAAAAACTCAAAAAATGGTCCCTGGACTATTTTTGGACTATTTTTTTACTATTTGGATGGATTTTTTTTTTTTCGTCGAAAATCCCCCTGTAGGGGGACACGCCCGACATAAGCATGGGCGCAGGTGCAGGACCGGATCGTAGCTTGCCGAGTTCCCCTCGCTTCCGTCGGTGCGCTCGGCGACGGGCGCGACGCCTCTCCCGAGTGCGCCACCACTGGAGCCGGACATGCGCGTGGCCCGTAGCCTGAGGGAGGTCCACAGATGCACCGCCAACCCCAACAAGACGAAAAAAACAGCTGCGCACGCAATAACCCTGAGCTTGCCTTCAATTCCCAAGTCCTCGTCCGGGTTCCGATAGTTATCTGGCGGGACCCATACCTCGCCAGGACCCTGTTCTGCCGCAGTCAGCATGATTTGCATCAGCGGCAACAAGGCACCGCAACGCAGCGCGGAAGACATCCCTCGTCTGGCGGGCGCGCTGACAATTTCGAGCTCCCTATTGAGGCGGCATGACGCTCGAGCCAAGCTTTCGAGCTAAAATGGCGACGGGCGTGTAGAAACGGGTTTGGTGCCGTAGTGGGCCGTCTAGGGCTTGTCTTGCCGACGTTGGTGGCATCAAAACAAAATTTTGATGTGGACATTGTGACTTCGACGAACCTTCAAGCGGAAAACACAAACACAGACACACACACACACCCACACACACACACACACACACACGCACACACGCACACACGCACACACGCACGCATGCACGCACGCACGCACAGGCGTGTAGAAACGGTTTTGGTACCATAGTGGGCCGTCTAGGGCTTGTCTTGCCTACATTGGTGGTCTCATGACAAGATTTTGATGTGGAAATTGTGATTTCGACGAATCCTCAAGCGGAAACACACACACACACACATACACATGCACGCACGCACGCACACGCACACGCACACGCACACGCACACGCACACACACCGACACACACCGACACACACCGACACACCCACACACACCCAGACACCCACACACCCAGACACCCACACACCCACACACCCACACACCCACACACCCACACACACCCACACACTCGCACACCCACGCACCCACGCACCCACGCACCCACGCACCCACGCACCCACACACACACACACACACACACCACACAAACACACAACACACACAGAGCTCCGAAAAAAACGGACCCCCCTGGGCCAACTTGGGTATTCAGGGGGTGGCCCCGTTCGTCATTGCGTGCCCGCGGGCGGCCAGTGGGCCCAACACTCCGACATTACATGCCCCCCTTGACCGCATCTCGCGGCCGCGGGGGCGCCTCGGGACAGCACGGCTTCAACCTTGAGCGACGCCTGGAAACCGCTCTGGGAGTGCAGTTTTGGGCGCAGACGCGTGGCCTCTGAGAGGCTTCTGGGGGCCTCTTGGGAAGCCTCAGGGGCCCAATTATTGGTAGCCTTTGGGGGACCTCTGTGGCGCGCATTGGTGTCTCGAAGGCGGCCTCAAAGTCCGATTCAATGTCCCCAGAAACCTTTTTGGGGACATCGTGTAGGATGTGGGCGCGTGGCCTCTTCGAGGCTTTGGGGGGTCGTTTGGGAACCCCCTCGGGGGCCTTCGGAAGCCTGCAGCATGTCGGGGCCTCTTGAAGGCCGGCTAGGAGCTGTCTTTGACTTCTAGGGGGCCCCAGGGGGGGCCCTGGAAGGCCTGCTGGAAAGTCTCGGGGGTCCTCCTGGGGAGTTGGGTTCGAAATTTGCGGTCGTGCTCCTCCCAAAGGGTTCCCTTTTGGGTCCCTCCTGGGCGTCGCTTGCCATCTGGGACGCCTCTTGGGCCGTTTTGGGTTTTCATTTGGCCGCTTCGGGGCCTCATTGAGGCCTCTCGGGCCGTCGTGCCCCTCAAGGCCGTTTTGGGCGCTGGTAAAACGAAAATGCGAACCTGTTGAAATGTGTTCTCCGAATGGGCCCTCTTGAATGTCCTCTTGGGGCGGTCTTGAACCTCCTGGGAGGAGCATAGGCCATCTGGAAGCCATCCTGAGATGTCTTGGAGCGCTCTTGGGGCGTTCCTGGGTCGTCTTGGAAACATCTGGGGCCCTCTGAAGGCCATCGTGGGTGCTCTTGGACCGCTCTCGGGGGTGAGAGAGCTGTCCTGCGGGGCGAAAGCGCGCCCAGGGCCCCAGGGTCAAAATGGGGTTCCCAGGGGGTGGCACCATTTGTCATTCTGTGCCGGGGGGAGGCCAGGGAATGAGAAGGAAGGGTGCAGGGCTTGACCATGAGGTAATGAGCTGAGAACCCGACTCTTGGGATAACGTCGGCGACGTATCGAAGCATCCCACAACCCAGCCCTTGATGGCAAACAAAACGAGAGGGAGGAAACAAACCGTGGGATGGAGAGGTGGGTCATAG